GGGGCCCCCCCCCCCCCCCCCCCCCAGTCGACTCCACCCTGCGCCGCGGAGAATTTGGTAGTGATCTGAGCAGAAGCAAGCAGCCAGCAGCAGCAGCAGCAAACCAGCAAAGCAGCAGCAGCAAAGCAAAAAGGTAGCACCAGCACCAGCAGCAGCAAACGAGCAGCAGCAGTGGCGGCAGCAGCAACAGCAAAGCAGCAGTTGCAGCACAGCACGGCAGAAAGCAGCAGCAGCACCAAAGCTCACACAAGTTTGGCCTCCACAACCCTTGATTTTCGTTCAGTTTTTTGGGGGTTGCGCAGACGAAATTGAAAGAGGGGGGGACAGCAAAGCAGCAACAGCAACAGCCAAACAGCAGCAGCAACCAGCAGGAGCAGCAACCAGCAGGAGCAGCAGGAGCAGCAACCAGCAGCAGCAGCAACCAGCAGGAGCAGCAACCAGCAGCAGCAGCAACCAGCAGCAGCAGCAGCAGCAACCAGCAGCAGCAGCAGCAGCAGCAGCAAAGCAGCAGCAGCAGCAGCAGCAACCAGCAGCAGCGGCGGCAGCGGCAGCGGCAGCAGTGGCGGCGGCAGCAGCAGCAGCAACAGCAAAGCAGCGGTTGCAGCACAGCAAAGCAGAAAGCAGCAGCAGTGGCACCAGTGGCAGCAGCAGCCGCAGACATGCTACCTTTCGTCCACCCCCATCTCCTCAAGTACCCCACATCCCCAGTTTTGAGTTCTCACCTGACTCCTAGAAAACATGAATCACCCGGACTTGCGGAGTATGCCACAATAGCTGAATCCACCTCATGGAATCCGCACCAATCTGAAGTGTTTGAAGGCGGCCTTACGGTCGGACGCGGCGGCGGCGGAGAGCCTCACTGGGAAGAAGGTGGTGGCATCTTGCTCCGCATGAAGTAGGGAGGCAGGATGAGGCAGGAAGGAGCAGAACAGAGCAGCCATGAGAGATTTCATGCTGGCTCAACAGTCACTGTGCTAGAAGAATCATGCTGATTCCACTGAAAGGCAAGCATGGGGAAGTGTGCTGATTTCACGTGTGACGTGGTCGCCAACGTTGGATAGTGGCACGGTGGCACCGGATCGGGGATCATGGGGGATCTACTTGTGGTCCAAACCCCTGCGGAACCTGCGTTCGGTCAAAACCCTCCAGTTCGGAGGGTCCAATGATTCTTAGGGTAGCTAACTTCAGATAATAGCCTTATTTTCCTGACTTGAGGTCTTAGGCGGCTCGGGCTTTGTCGGGCGGCGGATCTGTGAAGGCCACCGGATGCGGGAAGAGGGATGTGGCGCGCGATGGGGGATGCGGCGCGCGTGGGTTGGACATGGGGACTGTATGTAGATCCGGAAGTGGTGCCGGCAACTTCAAGTCACTTTAGATCCCAGACTGATCCAGACCTCCCACTTGTTAGGATTCAGTTTGGAGCCAAGTATACTTGGATATACTTGGGAGAATCAGAGAGGATCGTTTGCATTGATACTTCCAGGAATTTATGTTTGTTGTGTGGTTTGTAGGAATTCATGGCACCAGCCTGCTGCTTTTTTTGGGACTCTCGGTTTTAGACGAGTCACGAGTATGTTCAGGACCGCCGTGTTTTTTGTTTTCGATTTTTCTCTAACATGTCCTGTCCCATACCCTAGGGATCCAAGTACCTTCTCAGCAGGTGATTGGGGACACCGCTATGTAGGTTTGGAGGGTCCAAGTACCTTCTGAGAAGGTACTTGGATCCATAGGGATACACTCCATGGGACGGAAGATGTGCCCCAATGACCCCCTCCGTGGCAACTGATCGGATCCTCCTATGGCAGTTTCCAGACGGGAAGCGTCTGGGTTTGGACCAAGTGGGATGCAGATCGACAGAAGACACAGAAGACCAATCCACAGAACGATCCAAATGGGATCTGATCTTCTTTTCTTCAGATCCATTGATCCACAGGTCAGACCGATACGTCTATAGTCAGATTCACGGAAGACGCTCCAAACATCGAGTCCGCGGGTGGAACATGGCTTTTTCGCTCGGCAGAGAGCCCGACCCGGATCCACAGAGCGAAATTGAGAAGGTGATGTTTTTTCATCCACACTGCCTGGGTCGGGCCCCGTACCGGATCTGAGAAGGAGAAGTCAGAAGCCGTGAATGTTTGGCGATGTGACTCTAGTGCGATGTGTTCAGAGTCCCAGACTGTCCCAGACTCCCTGCATCCCCTGGTGCTCCAAGACTCCCTCAAATGCTCCGATCTCACCGTCTCACCCAGCCTGCATGACGCACCGGGCGCCTGCGCGACGATGCAGGCTTGCTACAAGAAGGTGCCACAGTAGTGAGCGTCTCGCGCTCCGGGAGACCTGCAGTGTCCGAGGACTGGGTGGGCTCCTTGGCTGGGCGATAACTGCGTGCTGAAAGAGTTGGAAACTACACCCGGAAGAGACCCACATGGAACCTGAACATGGACCAGACTGGAAGACCATTTTCCTTTACAACCCAAAGGTTTTCCAGATTCCATGTGAATCTTCCAGGGCGTGGAAGAAGCTGGGAGGTTTCAGAGACGGTAAAGGGCGAGATCGTTTTGCTCTTGGATTTGCTGAAGGTGGAGTTTGTTTCATAGGTTAGGAGACCTTGAAACCATCCAGCGGGCTTCCTCGCTCATGTTTCCTTCTAGAACTCTGAACTCAGCTCACCTTGCTTTCGAGAGGGACGAAGCGAATTCATGCGGCAACAAGCAGTGTTTTCTTCGGGATGTTCATGAGTTTTTCTCCCCACTAAGTAGTCCGACGAGAACCGGCCGAGCTGCCCAGCCGCCCAGGCCAAGTGAAATGGGAAAAGGGCGACCTCCTCAGCAGCAACTTGGCACCCTTCATGGAGGGTGCAGAGGCAGTGACTTGGACACGTGTGGAGTCTACCTCCTAACAGAATTGGAGGAATGGGTTCCTCCACTCAACCACGTGAATTGGATGATTTGGACGAACACGTGAAGAACGCTCCACTGCTTTTTGGTTCAGGAAAACTGAGTGGGTCAGATGACAACTGAGAATCTATTGGTCATCCAAAGGGTCTAAACTTTCTGGTGCTTCCTACACCGGCCGCCACCGCGCCGCGGTCGCCGCCACCGCGCCGCCACCGCGCCGCGTTCGATCGAGCGGAGGTGATTTCCGCCGTGGGCGCCATCGGCTCGGGCGACGACGAGCGTTTGAACGGCCAGAGCAACGAACGCGCCGCGGCGGCGGCGAAGGCCGCCAAGGCCAAGCGGTTTGTGTTGGTTTCGGCTTCGAAGGCGAGGGGGAGGGAGGGCTGGGCAGATCTGGGCTGATCACTGGTGAGCTAGTGGGCTAGACCTCGGAGGAGGCGTGAGTTTCTCTTGGCTATAGTTTGTGGATCATGGGTTGCTATAGTCATTGGCATGAGATCAGTTGATGCTTGGAGTTTGACTGCACCAACGCGTCTCTAAGTCTATGTCTATGACACCCGGATGAACAGTGCGAGGAACAGATTTGGGTGAAAGTGGATTCCCTAGGGATCCAAGTACCTTCTGAGAAGGTATGTGGATCCCTAGCGATTGGTGGATTTCAAGATCCCATATCATATCACCTTGCAAGGAGACTTCAGGGTTGTTTGATTGGAGCCGCATCAGCCCAGTGCGTGGATTCCGCGCCGTGCGTTATCCACGCACAGGATGTGGCTGAAGCTGGGGTGCCTTGACTACATGAGGATGACCCTCCCCTAAAATCCCCTAAAACCTGGAGTGCACCAAGCGTTGATGTTTTTTTTTTGAATGATTTTTTCTTTGGCGGACCAGAATTAGTCTTTTTGGCCAGCTGCAGCACATTTGGGTTTCAGTAGGTACTTGTAGGACTTACTTAGTTACTTGGTAATCGTGAAGAGCATACTAGACACGCGTCACAGAAAATGTTTCTCAAATGGTTGATTCGGGCTTTGCCACAAATTTGGTTTAGGGATTTGTGCCAAGACTCCTATACTTTGCTGCTCTAAGCAAAAGACACAGCCACACATCCTTCAAATGCAGATTGCCTGTCAATAAAGAATATATAAGCAGAAGGGTGACAACGAAAAACGTCTGAGGTCGACGCCCTCTTTGGGCCCTACATCCAGGGCAAGCGTCGCGCCGAAGCAGCGACCGAGCAGTTCGACGAGAAGCTGATCCTGTGGCATGGCACTGCTGAGGGGGGATGGGATGGTTCGAAGTAATGAAGTATAGTATAGTGGTTTCAGAGTGGATGGCGCTGGCAGCCCAAGATGTCTTTTGTAGTGTCTTACTGTGACCATTGGTAGTGGTGCATATAAACCACCTCACCTGGGGCCCCAGACGTGCCATCTACTCTGAAACCGACATGAGGATTGGACAACAATATGGTTTGGGTCGACCCCCTTTGATCGGTTTAGAATGGAAAGAGGTTGGTTCCCATCCCCTCAGAGGGTCCCGTTAGCCATAGATCTTCGGCAATCGCCGCTACATGACATTCATCCGTTGCAACATGTTTGGAGTACTGAAAAACATCGGTGCTTGGCGTCTCATCTTTGGGTATATATAATCTTGTATAGTGTGAAGAAGCGAAAGAAGCGAATGGGCGTAGGTCATATAGTACATAGTAGGTCAATTGGCGATTTCACGGACCGATGGCCTCGGAGGACCGTCTGAAGAGACCACTACACCGTCAGGTTTTTCACTCCACGGGTCTCCGTCTTCGCTTTTCCGGCCGGAGTGTAAGCATTGATGGATTCCAGCCGGAGAACAAGATGGTCCCGGTTCCCATGGTTCAGCGTTTCAGTCGGCGGAGATAGGCCGAAAAAGATCCATCCATCCAATGACCGAGGCAGCCCAGCTTCATCTACGGCGGAGAGGAGTTCAGTGCTACGCCGCCTCGAGTGGCTGGCTGGTATGGTGAGAAGGCCACACCGAGAAGAACCAGGGATGGAGACAAGGACAAGTGGATTTGAATGATTTGATTCGTTTCACCGGTGTTTGTCGTGTCACGTTTCCCTGGTACCAGACTCATATTTGCCTTGCTCAGCCTATCAGCAAGTAAAAAATACCAAAACAGCCCATATGCATGCAACTTTTCCAATCCATTTCATCCAAGGCGTCAGCCCCAACCCTTTAGCCCAGCCTCGTGTCGCCGCCGCATGTCGCCACCTCTCCAGCCGCTCCACTCGTGCCATCCAACCTCTCTCCACCCCTCAACTTGGAGTCCACCACCATCCACCACTCCCCAGGTCTAGCGGCCACTTTGGCATTCTGACCATGACTTCTGCATCACGAAAAGTGGGACTTCAACCCTTGGAACTACCTCAACTTCAGGTGGAGTCCCTCCTCTCCACCGACCTCTTCCGCGCCGCTGCCGGCGCCTCCCCCGCCGCCTTGCGCCTGGCCCTGTCTCCCCCGTTGGACGTGAAGGACGTGGCCGGCGCCGCCGTGGCGGGCGCCGCCGGGCGCGCGCGAGGGACGCTGGGCAATCACGATGCCATCCTGGCAGCGGCACGCGGGTGAGGCGCAGTGGAGTAGTTCATGCGGTGAACGCCAGCACTTTGAGGCCCTTTTTCATCCTTTTCAACTCTATTTGAGGATCCTCAGTTGTTTCATCTACGGATGCTTCGATCCAGATTGGACCAGCCAACGCCAGCTGGTTCGTCTATAGGCGTCAGTTTATTGATTTGCAGGATTGATTTGTAAAGAAAAGTGTGCGGCTGGTGCAATATTCAGCCGTTTCTGTACCGCGGTGTGAGACCCGTCAACTACCATTGGCTCTTGGTATGTCAAACCGCTGAGTTGGATCTTGGTATGGGCTGGGCGCCCTAGGCATGCTTAGGATTAGACAGGATTGACTCGGCGCCGAAGAAGAAGTTCCTCCCCAAATTCAACGTGTTGGGATCACTTGATCGACGTGAAGCACGCCGAGTCGGCGTTTTGCTTCGCCGAGTCGACTTTTTTTGATCCATTACGGCCGTTGAGAACCACATGCTTTTTCTTTTGATGAGTTCATCAGGTGTTGAGCTGTTTGGGGTGTTCCTCTGAAGCTTCGTCAGATGCTTCGTCCCCTCACACTGACGCCCAGTCAGACACAGTCAGATGGTGAATTTGTTCCTTCAACCAAATCCAGCACGGAATCAATTGGAGCCAAGCCCAGAACCGTTAGTTTGTTCATGTTTTCAAGCGAGATGAAGTCACTTAGATGACACTGGCTCAGACAAAACCTGGTGAGTACACTATGAGTGCACATGGTGACGCTTGCGGGAAGCGAAGGGACAAGGGCGGAAGAGCAAATCCTTTGCATTATGTTGCATTGCATATATAGGAATTGGACAGTTCCCAAGCTCAAAGAAGCCGATGTTGCAAACATGGTTTTGCAACAGTTACTGTTTTTCAGCACTTCGGAGAAAACCCATGGGAACTCACTGCAGTAGATCTCAAAAGCCATAGGTGAGCCTCCCAGTATTCGGAGGCCTCTTTTTTTGACAATTGTTGCTCCTAAAGTTCAACCCAGCAACTCGCCCCCCCCAGTCACACCGAAGCCTACAGCTAACAAAGCACCGGGTCGCACGACATTTTTCGATGCTGCCTCACTGGTGTCTATGGTGCTTGGCCGGACTTGCAGCGCTTGCGCAAGAAGAGGTTGCGACGTGGGATGGATGGAGGAAAGGTTTGCTGGGCTGCACGGGTTTCCGGTAAGTTATGATTATATGAAGTGTTATATGATTATATGTTATTTAAACTATCATGATACTATAGTTACTATATATATATGATACTATATACCAATTCCAAAGAACCAAGGTTCTTTGTTTGAGAACAGCTACCCGCCATGAAGCAAAGACGATGGAGAACCGCGTTGAGGTGATTGGACCCGAAAGGAAAGCCGAAGAAGAAACGCCCCGCCGAGGTAGGAAGATATCTGGATGTAACGAACCCGTTGCATCCTTTGTTAGGCCAAATGCGGAATCTTTGGTATGTTCACCGGTTCGCCTGCATTTCCGGAGCCCGTATACTCATGGATTGTATTCAGTAGGTGGATCAATCCTTGTTTACACTCGAAGGCCAGGCCGCTGTGCTCCATTAGGCCGCTGTGCTCCATTGGACTCCCTCATCCGTGCCTTCACTTTTAACAGAAAAAGGAGCCATTGCCGCTGTGGCTCCAAAAGACATACAGAGACTCAGACGGCCTTCGTGTATTGTAGTGTGACAACTCCTTGTCCCAGCCCTACCAGGTGTGTTTTTAAATGTCTGTTTGGCTTTCTTTCAGCGAAATGATGCGAAATAATGCGACATATTTTCGTGAGCAGCATTTTTTGGTTCGGGTGCGAAACGGCTGTCGACTTGAAGTCGGCAGCCCTGCACCGCTTTGGACCCACGTCCCACCAGGTCTCGGACGATGAGTGCGCGACCAAGACCGCTACAGGTACCCGAACCGGGTGGGAACGAACGGTCATGGCGAGGCACCCGGGTGGTTCCGGTGGATCCAAAGGGTGGCAGAAAGGCCACCCTTTTGGACATGAAGAAATGGATAGAAATGGTGTTTATGGCCATGATAGCGTGAACGCCAGCAGTCACAAAGGGGTCTTAATTAAACATCCCCCTAGTAGGAACGCTTTATAGGCACCCCTTTGTGTCTGCTGGGATGGTGTGTGTGTGTGTGTGTGAATGTGTGTTTTCCCATGGCTCGGCCGTATAGACTCCCCACCACTCCAACAAAGGTTGGTACAAGAAAAACCAGCCTGCCAAGCGAGCCCCGACAGAACCAAATCACATGCTGAATAACATCTGAGCATCCGACCCAACTTCCGCACGTGTCTTTTTTCGTCAAAGCTTCAGCTTTCCACACCAGTCTCTTCGTTCTAGTCGAACCGGGGCTCCGGACCTCCATCCCCCTGGAGCCGTTCGAGTTCGAACGTCTCCCAGGCCGCTCATGGGCTTCAAAGGACCCAACCAGCACAGGCCCCTCTAGCACGTCCCAGACAAGCTCGGCGGCTCTCCGACGTCTCCCCACGACGCGACCGGGTGGCGCGTCACCCACCGTCCAGGCTGTGCCACGTCCTGGCTCCAGCGACGTGCTGCCCAACGCTCGGAGGAGCGGACACCGTTTCGCCCGAGCGATGGAGAGAAAGGGTCGGAGACCAGCTCTTCTGGGTGAAGAAGAAGAAGTAGAAGTAGAGGTGTGACAATGACGTTGAACAAGTGCTTCATATACGATTGTTTGCTTTTTTAGTTTCAGGGGGTTCGAACATCAACTGTTCAGAAAAGTGTGGGATGGGATGTCATGAATATACTATATATAGTGTTTTGATATTTACCGCCCATAGGTTGTATATCTTTTGGGTTCTTCCTTCGATTCGTGGCTTCAGAACTTCGCCACATGTTGTGTTGGACCCCACAAATGTGAATGGTCTTTTATTTATTGCTGGAAGTCGGACCCAATTCGCTGGCCTGGTGCGTTGGCCTGGTTTTCTGATGTTCTATGTGAATGCCTTGCCAGTCAGGAGAACGTGAGCTGGGGTTGGTCCAGTGCGCCTGAAGATCTAGGCTGGGAATGGGATCGATTTAGAGACCACTTTCAGATGTGTTGATCGACCAAGTCAAATCTTCCATTCTGTGTCGAGAAACGGTCGAAACTTCGGGGCAATCTTAAGAAGAAGTGCCTAGCCGCTAGGATCCGCTAGGGGCCTAGCCTTGTTTCAGTGAGTGGTCTAATCCGGTCTAATCAAACCAATCGACACTGAGGCACATCTTTCAAGGGCGCAGTGAAGAGCTTCTCAACTGTCATCGTTTTGTTTGTCATGTTTTGGTTGTCATGCCTTCATCGATCCATTTGTCATCTGATGTTTTGGGGCTGTGCCATCTCCAGCCCGGACCATGCTCAGCCATTTCCAGCACTCCCGATCTGGAAGATGACCGGAGAGACCACCTCAGCGCCAGGTGAAGTCCCGCTGGGCTCCTGTTTCCAGGATACCGGAGGCGCTGGGCTCCTGTGTCCAAAGATTGGTTGATATACCCTAGGGCTCTCCAGTCGTAGCTTGTCCGAAGGTGTGACTGGACCCTCCCACCCACCCCAGTCCCACCGAACCGAAAGGAAGGCATGACTGGAGTCCGGATCTTTGGTCCGATGCTGGAGGCTCCTGCTCCTTCTTCTCCTGCGACAGCTCTCGTGGCGAGGCTCCGGCTCTCGGGTTGACGAAGGAGCGGGTCACGGTGAGGAGCCGACTGAAAGCGGTCGACGGTTCAGCGGCAGAGAATGACCTTCAAGGACCCGATCCAAGAAGTAGATCAGCTGCAAGGAAAACGGAACATGGGCTCAACAAAGCTAATCTGTGTTAATCCTCATGTTTCAGAGAAACTGTCGGGGTCAGAGTTTTAAGGCTTTCAGAATGGGCACCCGAGCAAGTCTGAAACTCCCCTCCAAAACTGCGGCGGCTTGGGGTGCTTTTGCATAGGAGGGATGAACCAGAGACCAGAGAGAGAGAGAGAGAGAGAGATGAACATCCCTTCGCCAAACACTCGAGAAGGGATCTGAAATTGGGTCAAGAGTGGTGCCAAGTACACCTCAGGAAGGTGTTTGGGGGATAGAACCGGTGGTCAGGACGTTTTCAAGTAATAACCAAGTTGGTTATAACATGCTTTGGGATCGTGGGGTTTTCGTTCTTGGCCCGCGTATGTCGTCACGCGGGGCGCTGTTGTCAATATTTTTCTCCCTCGAAGCAAGCCAATCCAACTGAATCCTACAGAGGGGACCCCTGAATGTGATACTGGTAAAACCCTCGATTTGGATGGCAAAACCTCTGACATGAAGCATTCAAGCACCTCGAGCACCACATACAGTTATATACATATTTACGAGCCATGAAACATGGGCTCACGTTGGTGCATCCAGCCAGTTGGCTGGTCAGTGAAAATGGGCATGTGTTCGAATTCATTTTGTGTCTTTGTCTCTCTACGCTCTTTTGTTTGTCAATGTGTCCTAAAGCGACATGTTGTTTGCATATTATACTGTGCTCATGCCAGTACAGGCAGCTGACCCATGAAACATGCTTCCTTTCCCCCCCTCTCGCGATGCGTGGGTCAAAATCCCTGTGGCCACGTTTTGTGGCCCGCCAGGTCTCTTGCGAGAGCCGCCGGTGCAAGTGCAAAGCGGGTTACTGCAACCACCGGGGCGCCTGCGTCTCCCAGCATCAAAACGACAGGTCACGGTCCCGATGGCGCTCCGATGGATTGAGAGTCTGGTGGTCACCAGTCACGTTTTCGGGGGATTGGGATTCACCCCACTGAGGAATCCAGCAGGGGTCAACCTATGGATATTCCATGGACATGGCTGGGTCAGACACTTTTGGGAGACCTATAGTGTTATATAGGTGGGAGAGAAATTGGGCGATGAGCCCCCTTTGGGCTTATACACTCCAAAATCGTTGAAATGGGCTTGGCAGAACCTCCGGCAAGTCATCTGATCTCATGAGCTGGAGGTGTTTGGACGGCACGGCCTTCTCCGCGCCTTCGCCCTCGGCCAGGTGCGTCCGGCAAACGGACCACACCTGCCGGGTCTTTGCTTGCTCCAGCATCTACGGCAACACCACCTGTGAGTTCCCCGGCTCGGTGAGCGTACCTGCCGCCGCCGTACGGGATCGGCCTGGAACTAACATGGTAACTGGACAACCACCTGTTTGTAGTGGACAACAAACACCTTCCAAGGGGGCCATTCTCCACGTTTCCATGTTAGTTCCAGCAGGACCTTCAGTACGTCACCTCTTTGGAGTCTCTGTTTGTGACCTGTTTTTCCCTGTTCATGACCGAGAACCCTGTGATCTCAAGTCCGGCATATGCTAAATGCCATGCCAAGCGTGGCATGAGCAGACGACTTAGCGTGTGTGTGCCGCGTTGTTTCAATCGTCGACGCGCTTCGCATGAGCCGACACATTGAGCCTCCACGGCTCTCCGACGACTCCACGGCTCATATCTCTCAGGCTCGCGGCGAGCTCTTCGAGGCTTCAGTACATGTCAGTACACAAATATGCTAAGGCTCCTTTATGTCACAGACCGGACCATTCATGTATCGAATAGTCATCAATATAGGTGATACATGGAGTAATATTTCAATATGTAACAATTCCACACATGGAGTGATTGAAAAGATGTAGACATGTTTTGAAAGCATGTTCTGATCTTTCCAAGCCGTTTAAATCGTCAAAAGTCAATCAAACCACCCCGTTCAACCGAGGTCTGGCCATTGTATGTGTGCTCCAGGCCACTGCCAGGTGGACGGCTTTTGCTACAAAGACCGGGGGCGTCCTTGGCGCGCCAAGGTAGTGTCTATTACGCAGGAGTTCTTTGGCGGCAGGGTGTTCGCTAGGAGGGCATGGAAAAGGGAGACCTCGGAGATGACGCGAGATAGGGTCGAAAGAAGATGTAAGTTGTTGGCGTTTTTCTTATAAGACCAGTGACAGCTTTCTTGGAAAGTTCTTTGAGGGTTGTTGTGTTGAAGCTTCAGATGTTGCGACCAACTCTAGGCCTGTTTTGTGGATGCATGCAAGGATGCAAGCATAAGAAAGCTGTTGCTTGTCCGAAGATGGCGATTGTTTTACGCGAATATATCAAAAGCATTGACACTAATCAGCAACACTAATCCGACCGTCCGTGATCGGTCGGCACTCTTCAACAAAAGCCCCACATCCGCATCGAAAACAAGAAGAACACATCGAAAGATGAGGCATCAACACGGTGTCGGAACCGGAGAAGTTGATGTTCCCTAGGGCGAACAGACCATGATACCGGAAAGAAGGTGGTTAGCCCCCTGGCACCCACCCCAAACCAGTTTCTGGGGATGTGGTTGGAGCCCTATTTGTTTTGTGGTGTTCTCAGTTTCTGTCCGTTACGGGTCCAAGGTGGAGGAACCTAGGACAGAAAACCGGGTTGGGTGTGCTAGCTGCTGGGTTCCTTTCCCAGAAGAGTGTTGCAGCAGACAGGAAACAGACAGGACGTTCAAACAATTCAGCAATCGGGCCCCCGATTGGTGTTGGATGGGTTCAATCTTGATTTACCGATGTTGAAGGTTGTTTTTTATTGATGCTGTTCGTGAAGAATGCTGTTGCTGATGAGTCCGCACTCATCACAACCTGAACATTGTACCGTCATAGGTGCCATAGAATCAAGACCTCTCATGATGCGTGGCACCCAGAAGACCAAAAGACTCAAGTCGGCACCGACTTGACCATTCGAGACTTGAAGCAATACTCCCTAGGGATCCAAGTGCCTCCTCAACAGGTACTTGGACCCTCCAAACCCACCCCAAACACCTTCTTGGATCCTTAGGGACTGTATGTTTGACATGTGATGTGATAAGTCAGCGGGAGACTACTGCGAACACCTACCCAGGTCGGGTGCTTTATAGACCCCCCGACCAGTAGCCATGCATGTTCCATCCAGTAGCCATCCTTTAGGTGGTGCTGGTGTAGACTACTAGGTAGGGAGGACTTGAAGGCGCCCTTCCACAGGGCAACTAAGTAACTAGATATAACTTGATGCTAAAATAGCAGACCTGTTCTGTCATGTTCTGTCCAAAAATTGACGTGCACGGCCAGAAGTCGGCAACGTTTACATGATAGCATAGACAAAAGAGGAAGACGAGATAAGATGGATTAAGAACTTTGATCTACTAGTATCCTTAGTAGGTTAGAGGCCACCGCTAGTCAGGTTGGAGGGACGCGTAGCTAATTTCCGAAAACTCTGGCGCTGTGGAGCCACAAGGCTCCACACCAGGTTCCCGCGCTTCCCACAGCACGTCACACGTGCTTTGGCCTTTAGTGGCGGTGGCGGCCGTGCTTTTGCCTTCACACTGGGCGTCCTGAGAGCGTTGGAAGAGTTGCAGCTGATGAGGTGGAGCGTGGGGATTCATGGGTCCAGAAGTGTGCGGAAAGACTGGCTGTTCAGATGGACGTTGACACCCTGTCAGTTTGTCGCACAAATAAAAACACAAAACCGCTGGCTTGAAACTGTCAAGGCACTTGGAGATTCCGGGAAGAAGAACGTAATAGGAGGTTCAACATATTGAGTGTCTTGACTCTTGACATTTCATGACAATGACAATGCCGGGCAGTTTAGGGTGTACACACACAAAGATCCCAAATGTGTTGGGCAAGAAGCACTGGTCATTGTTGGTCAGATCTGATGGATGTTGCAAGAAAAGCAGATCTGGAACTGATGCTGAACTGACAGTGTTTCCACAAGGAGACAAGCAGGATCCTTGTGTGCTTGCCTCTACCAGGGTTGATTGATGATTGGTTCACCTTTCCCTCCATTGCTTAAGCTAGATGGAGGGGTCTTGGGCACGAGGAAGGGTGAGTCAGTCAGCGTCCGACCCATCCTACGGCCCCGTACGGCATTCCTTACTTCAGCCCTTTTCACCGAAGCTTTACAGACGGAAAGATACGGAAAGACACATTCTGAGCTGAAGCCTTGTTGACTGGCCTAGCCTAGCCAAATGATTTGAAGAAGATTCCAACCCGACATCGACCTCCTTGAACAATCTTGAACAGCTTGAGAGCTAACCAAAAAAAGAATCCAAGGGGTGCCCTGTCTGGAAGCCTAGGCCGGTAGTGTGGGGTAGTCCAGCCAGCACACCCCGAGGGTCGGAGGGTCCAGGTATAAGCGCTGGGTAGAACCATGAGGTCTTCGCTCGTGTGACCCACGGGCAACGTGTCGTCCGCAACACTGAGCAGCTCGCCAGCAGCCTGGGCGCCACCGCTCCGAGATGCGCAGCGGTGTGGTGAGCGGAGGGTGAAAAGAGAACCTCTCCACGGAAAGAATTCAAATAGATAATTATTATTAAAACATTTTCATGCTAACCAGGTAAGAGATTACAATCAGGATAGATATTCAATTCAGATAGGGACCCACGACTACCCCAACCCATCCACGCGCTGCGCTGCGGCGGCTGGAGCTCACCACCTGCTATTTTCCATCGGCCGGGAGTCCAAGGGATCCAATGGGTCGGGGGTCTCTACAAAATTCAGTCAGCTGGCTCAGCTGACTTCCTCGATTTCATCGATTTCCTTTGCCTCTTCTTCCTCACCTTCTTCCATGCCATCGGCTTCCAATGTGGACTTAGTACGGTCCACATCGGCCCCGTCACTTGGTTCAGATGCCTTTGGCAAACTCTCACGGCTGGCTCCATCAATCACCCTCACCTTACTCAGCATCTTTGCCTCAAAGGAAGCAGTTATTAGTTTTGAGATGCTTTGAGCGAATCTGTGGCGGTGATGGTTATGGTTGGGTAGCCAAGAAACACATACGGTCTTCACCTCTTCGAGCTTGGTGCCGTCGAGCAGCATTTTGTGACCCACATCCTAGATATGGGGACAAGTTCATGAGATTTTGATCTAAAGAGAGCAGAAACAAAGCTAAGTTTACTGCGATTATTTGTTTGAGAGGATCTTTCTCATCAGCGTCCGCACTGGATGCAGGGTAGATGACTCCACCAACCTTGAATGGACAGGAAAGTGGCATGCACCACAAAACCTAGACCAAAACTGGTTAAAGAACTCTGACATACTGTTCGTGAGAGCAAGTTCAACCTTGACAATTGAAGCCTGGTGCGCGGTTAAGCAACCCGAAGAGACTCCTTCCCGCAATACTTGCAAGCCCACTGGTTGGACCTTTTGTAGAAGTAGGGGTTCCCCACAGCATTGCCATTTGGATCAGTGCCTGCCAAGAAGTACGGGTTATCCTGAACCTTTGGACCTTTGTGTTTCACAAAAACTACAGTGTCCCACCTGTTGGTTTTTTTCCCTTCCTGTTCGGCTTTGCATCTTCCTTTTGCGCTGACGATGCCTTCTTTACAGCCTTCTCCTTTTCCTTTACTGGGGCACCAGACGGTTCCGGTGCCCCCGTCTCCTTCTTCCTCTTTTTGCTGGATGGTGTCATGTTGGCGGCCGGTGCTTTCATTGGCTTCACTTTCGCCTTTGCTTGTGCTTTAGCCTTGGCCTTGGCTGCAGCTTTTGGTGTGCTTCGCGGGGTGCTCTCTTTCCCCTCTGTTGTGACCTCTGCCTTCTCCTTACGCGCTGAGGCGCCACCTCTCCCTCGAGCACGGCTACGACGAGTTTCACTGCGACCACGCCCACGAGCAGGCTTCGACCCCGAAGACGGTGTGGCGGTGGAAGGGTGTGTGGTTGGTGTCTTCTTCCTTTTTCTTTTCTTTTCAGGTTTCTTACTGCCACCAGGTTCTCCACCCTTCACCAGCTCAGATTGGGGCTTGGTCTCCTGCACGGGGGGTGATTAAAAGGTAGAGTTCAAAATTAAGAGAACCATGAGCAAAGCAACATATGCATTGTTGTCGCAAGACCTTGTGTTTGCGCATGCTTGCCTGTAGTGTTCTGTTTTGTTTACTAATTGAAAAAGCCTATCAAGCAGTTCAAACCCTATCCTCATCTTCCTCGCTTTCTGTCAACTTGTCCACAGCGGACAGGATAGTCATTGACTCCACTTGCAATGACAGACTGTGGGGGCAGAAAAACAGAAGAGCTGCGGGAACACCACAAATTTCGACCAATAGTGCAACATCAGTGCGATGTTGGGGTTCCAAAACATAAACTCAAAGTCTCAAAGGCAACAAAACATTTTGCCATGTTGCCGCCATTCCTTCCCATAGGGTCGCTCTATCTACAGGTTTGATCGAAGCGGGTTTGAGAGATAAAGTTGTGCTTGACTCCATGGATGTCCCCAGGCAACCATAGGCAACCAACAAGTTGGACAGTGAGCTATCCATGAATCATTTAGGATGCCAAAACTCCATCCGCCTACAGAGTCCAAGCACCATTCCCAAAGACTTTCGAGGCCCACTTAGGCCCAAGTCTTTCAAAGCAAAAAGCCTTTAGGCAGCCGCACTCAGTTGGTACCATGTGTTTGCTGCCAAAACCATACTACATGTCAGCCAAAGCTTTGGCTTCACTGGCATTACCTTCGGAGGAACGGAAGCCGACTTGCTCACCTGGCGGGATCTTACAGACTTGTCTTGATTCAAGAAGCATTGGAGTGCAAGCCCAATGGTCTTTTACTAAACACGGGGTAAGTTCAATCGAAACAGGATGGCCTCCCACACGACGGATGCCCTCAGGTTGTCACAAACCCTGTCGTAGTTATTCTTGAAGACCCCTCCAAAAACCTGATGCTTCAGGTTCATCAGGTCCTGCCCATCTACTCCATTAGGTCGGAAGCAGTGGGTCTTGTTGCCGTTCACCGGCTCGACATTGAAGCGGAACGGCGCTGCCACAGGTTCAGATTCATTTGCTGCCTGGGGCACGGAGCGGATTTGCAGGAGATGGTGATGGGCGATGGGGAAGAGGGTGAAGGACGCCCCAAAAAGCATCAAACAGCTATAGTCAAACATAAAAGTTTGGTCAGATTGAAACCAAAACGCTGGCCGCATTTTGGGGTTGAGTGAATGATCCAGCAGCTGAACGTCCACGAGTCCATGGTCGGCTGACATTTGCCGCATAACTTCACACAGCGGCACCAGTGCGTTGTTCAAGCACACGAGCTTCTTGTCATCTAGAATTCTCCATGGCAGCATCCGCTTGGAAACGTCCCCCATACCATCACCTCAGCAGCATCAGAATAGTCCAACTAAGAGCCCTGCCCCCAAGTCATGTATATCGATCGGGCTCTCTTGCTATTAGAAGGAAGGGAAGGCGCTTAACTTAACTCCAGCTAGGGCGCCTCCGTAGACTTTCTCCTCGAAGTCACCAAGACCAAACCCGAAGAGTGGCATGGGCTGTACTTGTAGCTGCTCATTTCCTTCGTTTCCAATCCACAGCTTGAAGTCAGTGGTTAAGACCACTGATGGCCGGTTATTTTTTCCAATGCAAGATGCCAACCTACAGGGTCGTTCACTACGACTGAATCAAAGATTTGCGCTCTTGGTTTGATCCAACCCCCCACCTCTCAGCTGTAAAGTCAGAAGCACTGACTCCAGCAAGGTCCACCACTCTGGTTGGGTCCAGTGGTAGGGCCCCATTGTCAATGCTGAAGTCCGGCCGGGCGGTGGATCTCGCTGTTTGGGTAGGCCTGGCAGGTTGAACTGTATCACCTGCAGGTTGAGGATACTTTGCCACAAAGTCGAGACGCTTCTTTTCCAGTTCCTTGTGCTCCATGCTTCCTGCTGGGAACCGGGTCCCCAATGAGTCCGGCCAGACCACTGTACCATTCACCATGGCGAGAATCTTGAGGCCAATGGGCTCATTGTTGTTTTCACTCCTGGGCCGTGCTTTTGGTCCAGACTCATCACTTTGGTCCCAGTGCGCATAGACCAACTCAGACAATGCCTCCTGAGTTTTGGAGTAGTTCTCTTTCTTCACAAAGCCCAAATAATGAGCCTGGGGCAACGTGTTGTCGAAGATAGAGGTCGCCGCAGCCCGTGCAAACTCCACATGCCTAAGGGTTTTCAATTGCCATGGGCGAGTGCTCAATGTGTGAAGTGCGACCCCGGTCCAGGACTGGTTGTACCGCGACACTCTGAGCAGGGAGCCTTGGGGGATGTTTGGGTCAGTTGGGAGCTGGTTACGGGTTTCAAGATTCCCCCAATACAACTGATGCAGCGATGACCCCACCCATCCTGTTCGGCAAGACATCAATGAACAGGAAGGCATCACCTTCGCCCAGAGATAGACCAGCTGCATAGGACTTCAAGATCTCGCAATGGACCGGAACTCCCTTCCTGACATTGTTTTGGAATGGGCCGACAGCAGCAGTATTTTTGGCTACCAGCCATGATGCCCTGGCTGTTAGAGGTGTTTTTTTTCAGGATTGCCTCCAAGTCCAAAAACAAAACTTGAGGGGATCTTACATGGTTGAACCCGAGCTTCTGCTCTGTTCGTAGGCCT